TTTTTTTTTTTTTTTTTTTTTGAGTAATGAATTCAGTAACAAAATTCTGCCGACTCAAAAATGTTTGACCTTCAAAAAGCTTTAAAATCCACAAATTACTAATTTTCAGTTACATTTCAGATGGTTACACTCTTCTACCAGTTTCAGCTGACAAATACTGTACGTACGAAATCAGCGGGACATTTTAACTTCTAGAAGCCGACAGTAGAGGAGACAGCAACAAGGACAGAAAAAAAAACAAAAAATTTATATCTTCCTTTTGTCGCAAATCGTTACTTGTCTAAAAATTGACTTTATCTTGTTGTTTTCAGCCGCAATGAATCTACAGCATACAACGAAATCAATCTCGAACTTGAAGTAACACTTTAGTGGTTTATATAATTGTAGTAACTTAGATTTTTTGGCTCTTTACAGAATCTTCTCTTATCAATTGAATGTAACTTTGGTAACTTTGTTTTATAAATTCCTATTGCAAAACAGTCCATTCTTAAAACTGATGCGTTATTACACCGGAAAAGTTCAGTTTCTCCTTCGACAAGTTGTTTTTTAAATGAACCTCGTGATTCTATTTCAGTGTAAGTTCTTAACTTTATGCTTTTCAGAATCTCCTCGTCAGTAGGTTCGTATTCTTGATCTTTTTCTTGTAAATGATTTGAAAGTAGTGGAGGACCTACCTTTAAGGCAACGTTTCTTCAGTTGTTATCACTACCCGATATATTACACTGTTCATGCTTGTGAGTAGGTGAGTTAATTTGTTTTGTATGACAACGGTAACTACAGCGTATTTGAGTGTTTTTCATATGCTGTGGGAAGAAAGTTTATTCTTTATTTCTTTACTGATTAGACACCAAGAATTTTCTAATTAATGATCTATTTCAAGCTTTCCAAACACTTCCATCTTCAGAAAAAGTGGATGAATTTAATGGTTTTGAGGCTTTTTCTTTATTTGAAGACTTATCGAAAAGATTAAGCATTTCCAATACATTTTTGAACTGTAATAACTTATTAGCACGATACTGGGAAGATTACAACTATTTCTGCAAAGTGTGAAAGTTAAGAACTGAATATTACCTTTAGAAGATGTCTCTTTTTGGGCTACTAGATCTTAAACTTACTGAAAGTTTTTGTACTATAAAATTCAACTAGAGGCAAAATTGACGTAATAATAGATGATCTTTTTACCTCTTCGAGAGAGAAAGAAGTACAGAACTGCAATTATGCAGTTGCACTATTTTGCTGATTAATTTTAATATGTCTGACCATTATGAACTGCTAAAAAAAGACAGAGATGAAATAATACTCAGCTCTGACGTAATTTCTCTGACTGACTTTATAAGTTTTTAGCTGTGTTAGCAAACTAGTATTCTTGAAATTCGGATGCAATTCTTGAATATCTTTATCTATAGTAGTAGTTCAGCTAGTCACATTTCTATGGATTACGAATCTGTTTAAACGAATTATATTTGCTTAATTCACTTGAAAAGTTTTAGATAAAGCACTGAAGGAAGTCCATGATGATGATTTCCCTAATCCTTAGAATTATTTTTGGTTTCACCAGAAGTGGACAACATTTGTATATTATGACAATCTTCAAGATAAGTAGAAATAAAGATAAAAACGAGAAAACGAGATTTATACACTTTTTCCTCACCTTGCCAAGGTTTTTGTCCAACTGGCTTACCAGAAGTCGATTTGAATCTCACAAAGCTTATATAACTTAAGAACTTGTTTACTGTAGAGAAGCAAGGAGCAATTATTACTGGCGTTGAATTTCAAAAGTGCTTTGTTACTAGTAAACTACGGCTAAAGAGTCTTCCACTAATTCTTTCACTAAAATGATATTTTTTGAAGAAAAATTCAGGCTGTATAAGATTAACTATCATCTTTTAAATCCGAGACAGATTACCCAGACTGGCGAAAAACTGTCCAGAACTACAGCAGGCTGCTATGCAAAATGTAGGCATGCTCAGAAAATAGAACCCAAACTGGAATTGACATTCAACTTTCTTTAAAATAGACTAACTTTGCTGGGTAACACGTTGTTAGAGTAGTCTAAGGACTATAGGTTTATTCTGAAAATAACACTCAAAAAACATCAAAAAAATTACTTCATTACAACGTCTTGTAACTATGCTACATTTCTGCCCTATTAAATCGAGAGCTTTTCTTTTGCTTATGAACGCTTACCTTTTACACCTCAACCAACGTTTTTGGGAAACAGTAAACGCATTACTGATCGTATTTCCACGTTCGTGCAACGGCTTTTAAAAATTAGTCAGGCATACGGATGAACTGTGTAGAATAAAGTTTTTATCCAAGAAAGAAATAATTCACCGAGGCTGCATAAAAACTCATTGTTTTAACTTCCACCATTCATCTGGACAGTTTACAGTAAATTTGATCTGAAAGGGTTTTAAGCTTAAGCACTAAAAAAGCCAATGCTCTTCTGCTAAGAAATACCTATCGGTATCTGCTGTTGAGAGTTCTTTAGGATACTTAATCTGTTTGACTGTTCTTTTTGGTCATTATCCACCTACTTCTTTCAATTATCATTGTACATTGTTCTGTTTTTGAAGATGAGCTTATTATCCGTTACTTGTCCAAATAAATTTATTGTCGCCTACAACTCGAAGACAGTAATGTAACGTAGCAGTCGTTTCCTGCTTAGTTTTTTAGCAAATCCAGTCACGCTGACGAAACTGAATTTGCGTATTACACTGTTAGCTTCCAGACCAAGTAGGTTACCTCAATGAAGTGATTACGAATCTCGCGACTGTACAGGAAACAAAAACAGGAGTCAGACAATACAATATCCTGAATTTGCCACTGGAAATCTTCCGAGAGGAGATTGATTTTGCATTAGTATGCTTAGGCCGACGCAAGATTTATGCAATGAGACTTTTGAGAATAAATTCTGTGTAGCTGTATCGTGCGAATAGTAATAGATGAATTAGGATTAACGTCTAAAAATAGAGCCGCTGTTGGTGCTGTAAAAGTTTTACTAACTTCTACACAGCATAAAGCACTGAATCAAGATATCATAAGAATTATATAAAGACCTTAAAAGGTACTCCGTGGTTTTTAACTATTTGCGTACTGACCACCACGACAAGTGAAAAATTTAATTTTTTTTATTTTTAAACTTAATGGACAACGAGGTATTTACCTTGTTAACTTATGTGAATTGTAAAGTTTACTTTTTATTACAACCCTCAGATTTGTGAATTGCGCTCGTTTTTTCATGCTATCCATTCATTCCTCACTTTTTAAAACTACCTTTATTATTACTCTTATTATTAAAGATGAATAATAATAGGTTTTTCATAGAATGGTTATTTATAATTTGATGACCGTATTACATAAATACATCAAATTTATGATAAAGTACGCATACGCTAGAACCAAGAAGGTAATGACGGAAGGAAACAGGAGAGACGGTGTGTGTGAAGGAAAAAAGTTAATGATGTACTTTTGTGTTAAGAAGGTCGTTTTTCCAAGTTCTTAGAATAGTTCCTCCTTCTTACTTTCATTGTCACGACCCGGTCCTGCGCAGCTTGATCACTGTGTTTGAAGATTTCATGTAAAAAGTGGTGCTGTTATAAAGTAGAGGTTTGGCTCGTTGGTTTTTATTATGGACTATTTGGGAAATTCTGGGAGAAGCAAGAACAATGTAATAGTTTTAAGACCCTTCGTCTAAGAGTTGTACAGCCATATCTGAGCAGAACTTTTGTCCTTGCGGAGTTATATTGAAAAAATGTAAATGGAATCAACAAGATGAGCCAAAATGTTACGGTTTAGAAGGTAAAGAAGAAAAAAGAGAACTGAGATTTTCAAAAAGTAAACAAATTTAGAATTTTGCTAATATGGCAGAGTGTTATTACAGTTGAAGTGAAAGGAATGCAACAGCAGCATCAGAAAATATAAACTGCTCATTTTTTTGCTGTAATTACACGCGCAGTGAACAGCGCCACTATTGCCGGATTACGACTAACACTTACATTAAAAGTAAGGGAATAGTAAAGATTCTATAATTGATGCCTGTGGCACTGTTTCGTAAAACCTTTTCACTTTTGCTTATTAAACGATTTTATCTTGTATGATTCAGATAAACAATTGTAATCTTTTTTTTTTTCTTTTTACGGGATGGGGAGAAGAAAAAGAGGAGTGATCAATTTGATGACTGTCTTATGGTGAAGTTATAGTTCTAAAGGATGCTTTTGTACTAAAACAACATAAATAACGTACAAACGGTTGCAACGAATAACGACGTGTAGATTGAAAGGTATGACGATTGATCACGAACAATAAGTCCGTGGCCATGATTTTCATCGGGCGCTAATGGATCTTTGACATAATTACATTCGTCAGCTGCGCAACTGCTACATTTGGTTCCATTAGCAAATCCTTTTTGTAATGTACATTGGTCCGCCGATAAACATCCAAGTTGGTAGACTGTAAATATTGAAAGATATATACCGTATAGCAGCCATATATAACTTTTGTTACTAAACGCTGTTTCTAGAATCCTAACAAAAAGTATCAAGATGATATATCAGTGAATGTTAAGAATATGGAATACAGAAATATCATGACCTCAATGTGCAATGAAACCGCAGCAAATATTTCTACGGTTTGAAAAGGTTTTAAAAGTAAGAACACGAAGGAACAAATCCTTGCACAACAAATCATAAGAGAAGAATGATGGTATGATTAACTGGTGTTAACATTGGTGAAGTGTTACAGATAGTTTTTTAAAAAGCTTTCATCATCACGACTGTAGCAACTTTTTTGAAATTAAATTAAACCTTTGTCGTAGCTGTTGAGCATTTCGTAGCACTGCGTTTCCTCTACTTCGCAATTTTGAACAGCCCATTGTTCTCGATGAGGACAGGTTTCATCCACGCAAACGTAACACCTTATTCCATAACTCACTAAACTACAGAATTTTTTAACACTAATGATAATTTCTTGACCTCCAAGTAATTGACTGGTGAGAACTTTTATTGTCCTATACTAAAATGAGAAATTCGATAGCAATTACAAATGAATATCTTTTGTAATGAATTACAGGACAACACAATTGATAAATTTGTGAAATGCTTGACTACTCTTTTTGTTAACAGTAATCGTATAGTAGTAATTAGTTAAAGAACTATTACATGAAAAGAGGAAAAATTTTTACCATAAGGTAAGAATATTAAGGCAGCAATTATAAATAATATATACTTTAAAACCATTTCTTAAGCCGTATTTTGCTAGTACCAACTGTCAGTTACACTGATGTTGACATTGCACTCTGTAATCAATATTAACCTTACATTGATAGCTTATCATAAAAAGGCATCATGAATCAGCACATACAAGCAAAAATGACACCTGCGTTTGCTTTAAAACTTTCGAATGATAAAAACAGTCTTGATGAAAACGAGCAAACGAGAAACAAAGCAAAAGAAGAAAAGAATAAGGAAGATTTCAGAGAACATTTAAATTTTTGTTCTAAACTGCAGAAAAATAGAGGCTTGATTTTTGCAGCTTAAAAAACTCTGAATCTTTAGAATTCAGGTTTTACGAGTTTTTTAAGTATAAATTTGCTAAGTTTTCGCCTGAAACTAGTTTATCGCCCTTGTAAAATATAAATTCTATAAGACCGTTAAAAGTGAAGTGGTAAAACATTGCTATTTTCCTGTTTCAAATCTATAAAACCATTAATCTTTTTTCGAGCAGGAGTAAAATAAAAATTTAAAGGTTGTCAGAAGTGAGGTTATAGTAAGCCGAATCATCAGTTTTTTTTACTTCAGAGGTGGTTTGCAAAAGTCGCTCATTTAAAGTATCTACACATTTTTTTCACAACAAAAATTACTTTCTCAAAGCTCAACATTTCTGTAAGACTATTG